CCCTGGTTCATGATGGCGAAGCCACCGGTGGGCATCTCGAACTTGGCCTGGCCCTTGGCCGTCCAGGTGATGGCGTGCCTCTCCCGGGTGGAGCGGGACATGTAGCCACCAGTGGAGCCCTCGAACCTGGGTCACTGTTAACGGTTTAGGGTTTAGGGTTTAGGACCTGTTAGGAAGGAAAGGAAATAGGGTCCTTTGCATGGGCTCCGCCTGCTAACCAAACCACAAACAGCAAAACGGATCCCTTGCTTCGTTGACCAAGGAACCCAAAACCCCTAAACCCCCAAACTCCTAAACCCTAAACCCAAACCCCAAAGCCCCTAAAGCCCTCAAGGCCCTCAAGGCCCTAAACGCCACGGAACATGCGGAACTTCGGCGAGTCCAACCCTAAACCCTGAAACCCTGAAACCCTGAAACCCTGAAACCCTGAAACCCTAAACCCTACACCCTAAACCCTAAACCCTAACAGCCACGGAGCATGGGGAACTTCGGCGAGTCCAGCAGGTCCTCAGGCCGCGGGATGGCCTCCGCCACCACCTCTAGGGTTTAGGGTTTAGGGTTTAGGGTTTAGGGTTTACAGGGGCTGAGTACCCCAGCCCAAATTTTAGGGCCTTGAGGGCCTTGAGGGCTTTAGGGGTTTCGGGGCTTTGGGGTTTTGGGGTTTTGGGGGTTTGGGAGTTTAGGGGTTTAGGGTTTTGGGGTTTGGGGGTTTAGGGGTTTAGGGGTTAACCTTTTGAATTAGAGTAGGATCATATAAGCCCCACAAGGTTAAAGGTTACTTACTCAGCCCCTGAGCCACCTCCACCGGCGCCTTTGCAGCTCGGCGGGTGACCTCGCTGCTGCCAGGGATACAGGGAGTAGGGTTCAGGGGTTTAGGGTTTTTGGGGCTTGGGGCTTAGGCGTTTGGGGGTTTAGGGGTTTAGGGTTTAGGGGTGTAGGGTTTGGGGTTTGGGCGTTTAGGGATTTAGGGTTAAGGGCTTAGGGTTTCGAACTCTCCTTCCATGGTGCTAGGATGACGGTGGAAGTCGCATCGCCCCCGCTACAGCAGCAGCAAGAGCAGCGATAAGGGTTCCCTGTAACCAAGCCCTGAAACGAACCCTTGAACCCTTGTGAGAACCCTTAAAGGGGCCCTAAACCCTAAACCCTAAACCCTAAACCCTAAACCCTACCTTATGAGAGAACCCCACAGTACCCGTTAAGGCACCCTAACACCCTAAAGATCCCTAAGCTCTCTAACCCTACACCCCCAAAAGCCTTTTACCGATCCCTTAAGGTCCCTTTAAAAGGGACCCTGTTATAGAACCCTATAGTACGCTTGAAGGGGACCCTACTATGTAAAACTCCATGGCCCAATATAGTCCCTTATAGAAACCCTCATATGGTTTAGGTTTACCTGGACCCTATAAAACCTACCTTTCTAGGGATCCTTCTTTATATAAGTCCTCAGAGAAAGTAGGTCATTTGGGGTTAAGGTATATTGGAGTTTATAGGCAGACCCTAAACCCCAAACCCCAAGACCCCAATAGTAGCCCTTATAGAGCCCTTTACGGAACCCTTTAAATCTAGGACATTTTCAGGTGGGTAGTTGCCGCTATAAGGAGCCTTAGCCTTATAGAAGGTCTATATACCTTATGGAAGCCTTATAGAAGCCCTGTATGCCCTAAACTCCTCACCTGTAGTTTCCTAAACCCTAAACCCGAAAACCTAAACTGCCCACCTGTAGTTGCCTAAACCCTAAACCCTAAACTGGGTTTGGGGTTTAGAGCATAGATAGGGCCCCAAAAAAGCACATAAGCAAAAATTCGAATAGGGATATCCAATATAAATCCCCTTATAATGAAGCCCAATAAGGTAGGGACATCCCTATAAAATGCTTATGGCTTATGTCCTTTTGGGGTTCCTACATAGAAGCCGACTCTGAGGGCGAGGCCGCGGCGCCCACGGCCAGCAGTGCGCCGCCCATGGAGCAGGCCGCCCAGAGGCCTCCATGGGGCGTAGGGCCCTAGCTCCTTCGGTGTTTTGGGGCTGAGGGTTTAGGGTTCTTAGGGTTTAGGGTTTAGGGTTTAGGGTTTAGGGTTTAGGGTTAGGGTTTAGGGTTTAGGGTTTAGGGTTTAGGGTTTAGGGTTTAGGATTTGGGGCTTAAGGCTTGGGGCTTAGGCTTCTTAGGGCTTGTGCTATCTAAATTATCTATTCTCCGCCCGGCCCGCCCCCCAAACTATGCAAGCTATCTAAACTATCTAAACTATCTAAATCCCTCCCGATTTAGTATAGCCTTAGGGCTTTGGGTTCAGGATTTGGGGCTGAGGGTGTAGGGCTTAGGGCCTTTGGGCTTAGGGTTCAGGATTTGGGGCTGAGGGTTTAGGGCTTAGGGCAGGGTTTGGGGTTTCGGGGGTTTAGGGCCCAGGGTTCCAGAAGGGTTCCCTTTCAGGGCTTCCTTCAAGAGAGTTCTGTAATTGGGCCGTCACGGGGCTTAGCATGGGGCTTGGGCTTGGGGTTCTATGAGGGTTCCCTGTCAAGGCTCTTTCAAGTTCAAGGGTTGTAGAAGAAGGGTTCTATAAGACGGGTTCTATGAGATTCTATGGCGGTTCTATGTAGGCTGTCCTCTAAGGCATCCTCGAGCTTTTGCTTGGGGCGCCGGCTCCTCTAAAGGCATTGGGGCTTTCAGGTTTTAAGGTTCCTTTGAGGGGCTCTGATGCTAAGAGGCTTCCCGGCCCTGTAAACTGAGGGGCCGTTCAAAAATAAATCCTGCATTACCCATGATAAGGACTATACTATAATTCCCATAGTTTAGAGTCCTTAAGGTAAAATAAAGCCTGCATTACCCATAATAAGGACTATACTATAATTCCCATAGTTTAGGGTCCTTAAGGTAATGATGGATTATTTATATCATTAACACTATACCATTCATAGCAACTGTAGCAAGCCTGCACTCCTACAGCAATGCGAGTAGCATTGGCAAACTTTCCATCCGACCAACTCTACACCCAAAGCCCCAAAAACCCTAAACCCTCATGTAGGGGCCTAAATCATTACCCGTAGTATTTTGGGGGATCTACACTAAAAAGTTTATAGTACAATATACCCCAAAACCCTAGTCTAATTATTAACCTAAACCCTAAACCTTTATAGTAGCCCTTATAGAACCCTTGAAAGGAGGCCCCCAAAAAACCGATTCCAAGTATTCAGGCCCCTCTAGTAGCCCTAAAACCCCAAAACTTCTCAACACAAACCCTAAACCTGAAACCCTACCCCCGAAACCCTAAACCCAAGGCCCCAAACCCTGATCCCTAAACCCAAAACCCAGGCCCCAAACCCTCATCCCTAAACCCTAAACCCTGGGCCCTAAACCCCAAAACCCTAGACCCTAATCCCTAAACCCTAAACCCTAATCCCTAATCCCTAAGTTCTAGTCCCTAAACCCTAAGTTCTAGTCCCTAAACCCTACACTCTAAACCCCAATCCCTAAACCCTAAACCCTAAACCCTAATCCCTAAACCCTAATCCTGAAATCCCTAACCCCTAACCCCTAAACCCTAAACCCTAAACCCCTCAACCCTAAACCCTAAAAACAAGACCCTAAACCCTAAACCCTAAACCCTTATCCCTAAACCCTAAACCTAAACCCTAAACCTAACCCCTAATCCCTAAACTCCGAGGCACCGGAGGAGCCCTCCGCCGGCGCGGAGGCTCCGATCGCCGACCCGGCCTGGGTGGCCTCAGAGCTTCGGGGCTCGTTTCTTTTGGGTTTAGGGTTTAGGG